AATTCTACAAACTCTCATGATCTTTCAGCCTCTTCACTGAAAAAAAGAATTCTAATGGTTCTTGAAGAAAATAGCCTGTATGGTGGGCAGCAGAAAGAATAAGATAATATGGGTCAACAGACATGAATTCAGATTCCAGGGCTAACTGAGGTTTTTTTTTTTAAAAATTACTTATTATGAACTTAGGATAGGGGAATTGGACCATGCAGTTTCATTGATATAGGGAACTCCAAGATAAGGAAACTCTTACCAGCACAGGGCAGCATTTCCTGTGCAACTTACTCTCTTAAGGGGTTAAGCAAGTTGCCCACACAATCAGATGCAGGAGTCTTCCTGACCTGATTATGAATTTAAACATAAACACATACGAACTTTACAATATACAAAAACAGAATAAAAGAATTCTATATGAAACAGAATGTATAAAAAGCTATTTGTTAAATTAATTCTTGCCATCTATCTCCTTCTTAACACTTATGCATTCATGTTTAATATCAGGTCTTCACAGTATTACCTCTCTTCTAGATGATGTGATTACACACCTCCCAACGGAGGAACTGGACAAAGAAGTGATGTGATTTTAATGATTTTAATGAGAAAAGCAGCAAGATTTGACTGTTTTCTCTAAGAACTAGGCCACATACATGTGTGTGTATATATATATATGTATATAGATGGCATCCAAATGTTTCTATTAAGAACAATGAAAAAAGGACAAGTAAATATGATGTTCCTGGATATTTCATAAATTTTTCTTTTGATCCTGAAGATAATTAAGAACAAGATTGAAAAAGTAAAGTATTGAACTTTCTTCAGGTCCAATTGAATATACACATATGAATTATTTTTGTAATTTTTTTTTCTCTTTCTTATTTTTTCCTGGGATATACAGGCTTTCATTATGTTTCAGTATTCATTTAGAAATTTTTAAAATTGTATTAAGGATTTCACATGTAAAATTATGTTAATAATTGTAAAGAAGCATTTACTCCTTTCCCCCCCTGCTTTTGGGGTCTCTATAGTATGATATTAAGAGACAGAAGGGTTCATTTTATAAGTCAAACCCTCATGGATCCTTTTTAAGAGTCTTCCTTCAGCCTGTAGATAGCATTATCTGTATCATGTACAGTGTTCAAGTAAATATAGAAAGAGCAAGTAGCATGTAAAAACTGAAATTCTCTGAACTTTAAGGTGAATTATGGGTTCCTATCTGAGGTTCTCACAGCTCTGTTGTTAATAAGATTAACTCCATACTTTGACTGTTTTTCACCACATAAACTAGTTCCTGGAAGGCCAAATTTAAAGAGGCTGTGTTAGGTTTTACTAGATTGTATTAAGATTTATTACTAGCAGATTTTAGCAGCATTACCTAGTGAACCTCTCTGTATGTGACTTGGAACCAGGGAAGTGGATCTACTGGGAGAAAAACTTCTCCAGAACTGTCCTGGCAATAAGACCTATTCCAAAATTTCCAAGGGAAAATGTTTTCCAGGATCAGATGGCTACATGGGAAAGCTAAAATCCAAAGTGAAATAAGCTGATAAAATGGTCATTTGGAGTAGAAACAAGCTAGATCAAGTAGACTTCATGTTATTTAATACTGATGACATGATTTTATTACTTTTGCTTTAATGTTTTCTTTGCTTATGTTTGCCTACAAAGGTCCCCAAATTCTAATGGGCACACACCAATTTATAAATGCCTGATCAAAGAAGTATTGCAGACCTCTCTATGATCAAAAAATAGGGGAGTGAGATGACATTTTTTAAAATTTCCTTTTGTTAATTTTTATTATGCCATTACGCCTGAAACCTTCTGACAAACTGAAGCCTGTTTTCTGTTAAAATATTAACCTCATCTAGCTAAAACTTGACTCATGGAATAGTAGTAGTAAGGAAAGACTTTCTGACATTCCTCAAGTAAGAAAAGAAGCCAAAGGGAAGTTTTGAGTTTCCCAAAATGATTTAGCTATTTGTGGAAGAATCCCCTGTAGCAGACTCTGAAGGCAATCTCCTCTCTCAATCAGCCCATTATGAACCCTCTAAATGTAGTTTAATCTGTGACAGACTCAGTTTACCTAAAATCTATATAACTGGGTTTTTTTTCCTTTAGGGTATATATGAGATTATGATTGTGTTTTTTTCAACTTCTACGGCCTAAGACTGCTGCACATCAAAAATTATTTCTCTGTCTCTATGACATACTTTTTTTTCTATAAGAACCTTCATTAGAATCTAATCTTTTTTCAGGATGATTTTTCTACCTATTGAACTTGTGCTTATACATAATAAAACCCAAGTTTTTACCTCTATAATTTCTGTGTTATGATAGGTTTATTCAGGACAGTAATCTACTACACGAACTCAAAAAGGAGATATATTTCCCATAACAATAGTCTCCTTTAATCTGGAATAACTTCTATTTCCAAAATCCCTTTTGCCAGCCTAATAGTTAACATTTCTTACAGTGTCTTAAGGTTTGCAAAACATTATATATGTGTGTGTGAATGTGTATATATGCGTGTGTATATACATATATATGTATATACATATGTTTATATATATATTTACATACACATACATATACACACACATATCATGTTGCCCATTTAGGTGCTATTATTATCCTCATTTTACAGATGAGGAAACTGAGCACAGAAAGTTTACGAGACTTGCCAAGGACCAAACAGTTAGTAAGTATCTGAGACAGAATTTGAACTTAGGTTTTCCTGCTGCCAGTCCAACATATTCATTATGTTGGATAGAGGTCACAAAGTATGGCCAAGGGCCAAATCCCAACTGCCAACTGTTTTTGTACTGCCTTCAAGTTAAGAATGGTTTTTACATTTTAAAATACAATAAAAAATTTTTTTAATGTAAAAACCATTCTTGGCTCACAATAAACAGGTTCCACTTAGCCTTCCCCTAAACCCTACACTACACCATCTAGCTCTTTATAATGCATCTGTTCTCTATTTTAGAGCAAGGATTAAAAAAGCAAGTCTTTGTAAAGCAAAGCTTTTCCCCAATGAATTCTATCACAAACATAAAACGTATACTACCTATATGGCCTTGATTTTTTAAAAAACATTTGGCTAAGAATTAAGATAGCAGTCAGTCTACTAACATCTTGGGTGTTTTAATGCATCAATAATGTTGGATTAGGAACTGTTGACCTTTTACTCTGTGGCATGGTCATTACCTTGAGATCTCCTCACTGTTATCAAGCATCTTATCTCCAACATGTCCTGCTGACACCACAGGAATTTCTCTATTTAAGGATACCTTAAACCCAGAATCAGAATCACCTTCATTCTCTTATCTGTCATCTGTCTAGTTATCTACAGTATCTACAAGATGCAGTATATTCCATTAGTAGGTACCATTAACTAAAAAAGTATCATAAAACCAGGTTCTCTAATATTAAGTATTTCTTTAGTTGGTAAATTTAAAATTCTATTGTGAGGAAACCAGCATATTAAATGAAAACACTATTTTATTCAAATGCATTTAAAACTGTTCAGAGAAAAAAAAAAGAGATAAAGCTCCCTTGAAAAGCAGGTGAAGCATAAACTAGGAAGCCCACATAGCAGGAGTATGTAATCTTTTGTGTGTTATGGACACCTCTGGAAGTCTGATGAAGCCTATGCACCCCTTCTTAGAATAATATTATAAAATGCATTAAATAAAAACATAAAGCTACAAAGGAAATAAAGGATTAATAAAATAATGGCAATTTTTTTTCTTTTCCAGGTTCACAGACTTTCTGAAATCTATCCAGAGAGCTCAAGTTTCTAAGAACCGTTACCCTAAAAGGAATGTACGTATAACATTTAGGATTTAATGCAAGATAACTCATATACTGATAGGTGACATAGCTTCTAGAGATAACCTATTTGGAAACAGATCACTAGATTTTTACACAGACCCAAGTAAATACTGAATCTATAGCTGTCTATAGTTCCACATCTAGCTAGGACGGTAGACTAAGGATAGCAGAGGCATGCTGAAAAAAATATCAAAACTCTCTCCCTGCAAGCTAGACAGAACAGGAAAATTCAGAGAGAAATAAAGAGTGCTAAGAAAGAATTTTTTCCTCTATAAAAGTGATAAAGAGATAATTAAAGGTTGCTTTTGAAAAAGGAAGCACCTTTGAATGCTTTTCTAGACCCATAACTAATGCTAGTCTAAAAAAGCTTTTGACCCTCAGCAAAGGCTCCAGGTAAGTTCTACTTAACTCCAGGAGAAAGAAACAATACCAAGTTAGGCAAAAATTAGAGCTTAGGTATAGTAAGAAAGGTATTAGATTTGTAAGCTGGAATTTTACTTCTCTTTAAATGAAATTTTTTAAAAATACAGGCAAATGTTATTGTAATGAGCATATGAATAGATATTTTTGCTATTGTAGTAAAAAATTAGACTTCTGTAGAAAAAGGAGTAGTTATTAAGAATGTGTATTCTCTCTTAGTCACACTCAGATAATCTAGAGTCAACTGTTAGCATTTGGCAGCAATAACCAAAAGTACCACTGTTTACCCTCTGGCAGCCATACAAATGTCAGGTACAGTTCTTGGAAGGAAAAACAGCAGTGTCTCTAGAGGCATTTTCAAACCCAAACATATACTGAAATTGTACACTCAATGTTAATACTAAGTTTACTTAGAACATGTACAACTTAGTCCCTACACAATCTTTATTGGGACAGTTCAAGTGAACAAACATCCAAGAGGTCTGCATGCTTCACACTGAGTCTACCCAACCAGCAACAAAAAATTAAAGACATAAGATACTAATAAATATGTGGTGTCCATAAGTTGAAATGTACATTGTACCTATGATGTGGGTCAAACCAATTTAGAAGATAAACCCTTCCCCATGGCAGACAGTTTGTTGTATGAATATTCTGTATAGCATTTAACTTAATGAGAGATACAATGAGCACTCCAACAGAGCAAGATACAGAAAAGCTGAGTAACAAAGCTACAAGCGCTTACTACCTACGGGAATGAGATGGGTAGGCTGGGATTCTTCCAGTTTGTTCCTCAGCCAGTCAAAATCCTGGTATCTTCGACGAACTGAATATTCTGGCAAGTCAAATTCTATCCGACTGGTCTACAAAAAAGAAAGAGGGGGAAAAAATTAAACAGAGGAAACTGGAGGAGGTAGATAAAGAAAAACATGTGAGTGCTTTCTCAGAATAAACCAAGCTTAAGGAAATCCTACGTCCAACTGCCCCTCCCCCTCCCCACTCTGTTGAAGCCAAATGGCAAAGACTTTGAATCCTGGATGACAAATCATCTTGGCTCTACAGACCCAACTTAAAACTCAGGAGCTAGAATGATGATGTTTGATTTGGTTTTCTTTTTCCCCCTAGCTTGCAGGAATGGTAAGAGAGCTGGCCCTCCAAATGAACTGTATTTAGAAATGGTGGTTTAGTGCTCCAATGAATGCCTCCAAGCCCTACTTTGAAGCCCAGTATTCTCCCCTGGGGAAGGGTGGGAAAGCACAGAGACTGCTACTGGATCAAAACAGTCTGCGTACCTGCAAGAAAAGATGGCTTAAATCATTTTCTTCTGCTAAACCATTTGCGGTAAGGGTTCCTAGGAGTGGAGGGTTAATAGATCTTTAAACCTCAGAACTCTGGGAGATCATAGCTGGTTATATTCCTTTATTTTCACCTTTCCTTCAAGGTACAGCTCAGGTACCACCTTCTATATGAAACATTTTTTGATCCTTTCCATCTGCTAATGCCTTTCCTCAAACGACATTGTATTTAACCATTTGGTATTTATTCTTCTTTTATTTATTCTGTCTATACTTGTGTCGATCTTGTGGTCTCTCCCCCCACCTTCCACCATGAAACTGAAGTTTCATGTCACTAAGGACTGTGTCATTTATTATATTTGCATCCCCAGCATTTAGCACAGTGTCTGGTACATAATATGTGTTTAATAAATACTTGCTGATTGATTAATTGATCATAGTTAATTTGGTTCTTGAATAGGTAGAACTCTTTTCTCTATTTAAACAAAGATCAGGCATTTTAAAGGATTGTTGTAGAGGTCAAATGAGATGTTAGTAAAGTTACTTATAAATGCTATTATTGTTATTATCCAGCATTTTCTCTTTTTTAATTTTTATTTTCATATTAGTCATGTGGTATAGAAGAATTAGAACCAATGGGAAGAACCATGAGAAAGAAGAAACAAAACAAAATAAAAAGAGAAAGAGCAAATAGTATGCTTCAATCTGCATTCAGACTCCATAGTTCTTTCTCTGGATGTGGACAGCATGAGTCTTTTGGAGTTGTCTTAGATCCCTGCATTGCTGAGAAGAGCTAAGTCTATCAAAGTTAGTCATCTCATAATGTGGCTGTTACTGTGTACTGGTTTTGCTCACTTCACTTAGTTCATGTAAGTCTTTCCAGGTTTTTCTGAAGTCTGCCTGCTCATCATTTCTTATAGCACAATAGTATTCCATTACATTCATATACCACAACTTGTTCAGCCATTCCCCAGTTGATGGGCATCCTCTCAATTTCTAATTCTTGGCTACCACAAAAAGAGCTGCTATAAATATTTTTGTATATGTAGGTCCTTTTCTTATTTTTATGATCTCTTTGGGATAGAGACCTCAAAGTGGTATTGCTGGGCCAAAGGATATGCACAGTTTTATAGCCCTTTGGGCATAGTTCCAAATTGCTCTCCAGAATGGTTGGATCAGTTCACAACTCCACCAGCAACGCATTAGTGTTCCAATTTTCCCACATCTTCTCCTACATTTATCTTTTCCTGTTTTGTCATGTTAGTCAATCTGAGAGGTGTAATGTGGTACTTCAGAGTTGTTTTGATTTGCATTTCTCCAATCAATAATGATTTAGAGAATTTTTTCATATGACTAAAGATAACTTTAGTTTCTTCCTCTGAGAACTGCCTGTTCATATCCTTTAACCATTTATCAGTTGTGGAATGGCTTGTATTCTTATAAATTCAGCTCAGTTCTCTACATATTTTAGAAATGAGGCCTTTATCAGAGATACTGGCTATAAAAATTGTTTCCCATCATTTTGCTTTCCTTCTAATCTTGTTTGCGGTGGTTTTGTTTGTGCAAAATCTTAATTAAATGTAATCAAAATTATCCATTTTGCATTTCATAATGTTCTCTATCTCTTGTTTGGTCATAAATTCTTTCTTTTTCTATAGACCTGGGAGGTAAACTATTCCTTGCTCGCCTAATTTGCTTATGTGTTATCACCCTTTATGTCTAAATCATGTATTCATTTTGACCTTATCTTGGTATACAGTGTGAGATGTTGGTCTATGCTTAAGTTCTGCCATACTATTTTCCAGTCTTCCCAGCAGTTTTTGTCAAATAGTGAGTTCTTATCCCAGAAGCTGGAGTCTTTGGATTTATCAAACAGTAGATTACAATAGTCATTGACTATTGTGCCTTGTGTACCTAACATATTCCACTGTTTCACTCTATTTCTCAGCCATTACCAAGTAGTTTTAATGATTGCTGCTTTATAATACAATTCAAGATCTGGTATGGCTAGACCATCTTCCCTTGCATTTCTTTTCATTAATTTCCTTGATATTCGGGACCTTTTGTTCTTCCAGATGAATTGTTATTATTTTTCTAGCTCTATAAAATAATTTTTGGTAGTTTGAATGGTATGGCACTGAATAAGTAAATTAATTTAGGTAGAATTTTCATTTTTGTTATATTAGCTGGGCAACTGGTATTTTTCCAATTATTTAGATCTGACTTTATTTATGTGAAAAGTGTTTTATGATTGTTGTTCATATAGTTCCTGGGTTTGTTTTGCCAGTTAGACTCCCAAATATTTTATAATGTCTACAGTAACTTTAAGTCGAATT